GCTTCGGTGTGTCAGAGAGTTTGCGCGTGTGCGTGTCCGTTCGTCGTTCCACCATCGATCTGACATGTGACTTGAGTAGCTGATTGGATGTGTGTCCGATTGGTTGGCTTGCGTGAGCGCTGTGGGTTGACTGGATATGTGACTCAGTTGTTTTGTTTGCCTGCCACGAAAGCGGACCAGTTTGGCCGCGTGTACCCAATACACCCGTGTCCGTACTTACGCGTTCTTCTGACTTACTGTGAACCACAATACTAGGCAATCCCAAAGATTTTTAGGGGAACGTGTAGCATTCGCAACCTCCAGAAATGTACTGGTCGTTGCAAAAGACTCTTAGGAGATCACCGAAGGAATCATTTTTCCTACTTAGACAGCTTACACATAGGTCATGATGACGTAACCGAAATTGGCCGGAACAAGTTAAAAGAGTTCTGTGCTAACAAAAAGAGAAGCCCAATTAACAGTTTGACGTGAGTTTACCCAATCAAAGATTATAGTTTGATAATATATCAAAATATTAGTTCGGTTTCGTCTTATGACCCCATACTGAAGTAAAACTTAGTGACAGAGTTAATCTAATTTAGTTGCCTGGTACTAGTCCCATAGACCTACGCCTCGTTAAGTAACATATTCCTCAGAAAGCAGCTGTGATCACCAGGCGTCGATATAACACAAGCTAAAAAACGTTTGTGAGCAAATGCAGGTCCTTACAAACCTTGTCTCCGAGCCATGTTAGTCGTGGTGTTAATGTGTTTATTTGCTTTGATTTGGGTCTAGGAACTAGAGTGACTTTCCTGAGGTAACTTTCCCGACGCTGTCAACAATCAGTTTTGACAGTCCACTAGATGCCCATGTTTTCCTCCTGTATGTATCTTGTAAAGTTCTGTCGATAGTTGACACATCACGTCGTCTGTGAGCAGACTACTTGTCCACAGCCGGCCATTCTGTTAATGAGGCAACTTCTTTAATTACCTTTATTAATTTCATTCCTTCGAGTTTTTGTGAACCAGTAACATGTTTTGGTAAAATCAGAAAGCACCATCTGCTAGTGAAGTGAAAATAATCCGAAAGCTGCGCGAGGGAATTCATGCAAGGAAAGCAGAATTTCGTGGCTGTTATGCATAGATATGATAGTTATGGTGTGGCAAAACGTTTCATCCTTGTGAGAATGAACGCACGTGAATCACTGGTTTTCCTTGTGGGTCACTGTGACCTTTCCGGTACTGTAACAGTACACGAACACTGAACACAGAAACTTGCGAACCTGTCTTCCGTGACCAAAAGCAATCAATCAATCACAGATAACGCACATCGTCCTTGGAATTGCGCTGGATCATTCATTTTCCAATAAAAGCCAACATGTTCAGGTGAATGCTGCTAAGTAGTACGAATGACGCTGTTTCACTTGGTAGCGATAAGCCAGCAAAGAAACCTAAGGTTTAACGGCAAAACATCGGTATAGCAACTGAAGCATGTGCAGACTAGAAAATGGACATCCAATGAACTAAAATCAACGGTTTATAGTTTTTTTCACTTTCCAGCATAGAATTATCATTAAAGTAAGGAGTCTAGGTGTAGTTACCTACAGTTTACGAGGCTTCACCGCACTTCTGAATTCTTCCTCATTTTCACAGAGACCTGGGAAATGTGAGTCGAGACAGGTATGGATTGGTTGTCTTACTGAACTAATTTTTTAAATGCGCACGTGATTAATGAATGTGAACAGTTTTAGCAGTGAACACATGACATAGGTTCTACAGAAATGTGGAATTTACTTTTTGCCGGCTGCCAAACCTAATGGCTATCTAAAATCGGCAAAACTGGTTGGCGATCCCATGTAGATTGGTTAAACCGATCGAAATTCGCAACCAAACCTGGGGTGGATAACTAAATCCGGGACTAGTAAACTGGTAATCCTTTTAGTTCGACTCCCCCTTTCTCTCTCAACATTTCAACTGAGCCCTGAAAGGTTTTTTTTTTAATAAACCTTGGCTCTCTGGTGCGCTGTTTCACCTTTTGTCTGGAAAGTGAAATTTTCAGTTGTCTGGATATGCCAGCCCAATTTCCCATTCTGTCCCGTCTATTCATACTAAAGGTTTCCATTTCCTGCGGATTCATCATACTTCGAGCGCGGTCACAGTCGCATCTAAGTGTTTTTCATAGAAAAACCAACCGACAGTTGACAGTGAAAGGAGCCAATGTTGGCTTGTTTCCACTGGTTACCGTTGGAAGCCAAAGGCACAATGCTCCTTCTACAAAAATTTCACAGTTGTTGCTTTGCTTCGCAACTCTGGTTACTCCACTCGACGACGTCACAACCTCAATGGTGCTGTGAAATCAGCACGGCAACTTGCATCTTCGCAGAACTGCTTGATACTCTGAACAAATTTGAGACATTCCGTGGGAACGATAGTTGACTAGGCATATGGCGAAGAAGTCTAGAGCACAACAATCACACGCGAAGCTCGTTTGTTAGTAGCGTTTGTTTGCCGGTCAGTCAGTTTCACCAAATGTCCGCCACTGTAAACTCTACTGGCCACGTAATCCAGAACGTCTATTGCACAATAGGCGTTGCTACGACATCGTTAATTTATGCTGAAAAACCTGCGCTTGAAGTGGTCCTAGAACCAATCAGCGGACTTTATCCCAGTCATCCTCACTCGTCTCTGAGAGAGAAATAAAGAGCAGCCACTCCATCAAATTGTTGTTATCAGGACGAGTTCGTCAGTCTAGTTGAATGTTCAGTGTGTCTTCGTGTCTGTTCTATTGTAGTTTATTTTAAATTTGACGCATGCAGTAGTGGATTCTATCGCTCAGCTGTAACACCCTTCCGGTGCCTGGCTGCCATGCTACCCGAAGGAAGCACGAGGTCTGGAATACTGCCAGGTTGCCCAAGCCTAGACAGGGGGGTCGGGAGGCAGAGGTCGGGTTCGAACCACGGACCTTCCCGTCAGTAAATTCGCGTTCCAACCACTTGAACCATCTCTCCCCCCACTAGTGGATTACGCTTCATACAAAGAAGGAAAGGATTAAATGTTTGAGGAGTCGTTCAATTGAGTTTTCCATAGTTTACCTTAAACGACGATAAAAAGGGATCACGTTAAAAAAAGCTGGAGTGTCAGGGGTAACTGGAACGATGAAGAGGTGTATGACCACAGAGAACGTGCTAAGAAAATATGGAATATATTCATACCTTTTAACATTGTTCGTCGCTGGTAGCTCTCTTTCAGCAGGTCGGTTAGAAGATTGCGGTTCTTAATTTTCAGGCGCAAAAATACCGTTTGTTTTCCACCCTCTGCGTCACCAATCACGTTTATTATCCGTGACCGAATGTCACAATGCCCTTAGCTTCCCCTCTGTTCGCTATGTGGTGAAAAATCTCTACCCCTTAATAGAAAGGACCTGAAGAACACACAAGCCAGTTCAAAGAACTCATTCGCAGACCCAAGTTTGGAGCATCAATCTTATGACCCGTATTATAGGATTCATTTGTGGGACCCATTCACTCTCCTATGAGCAGAGTGGGCATTATTGCCTAGTCATAGCGTCATTGTAAGCCACATCAACGATAATGGGAGGACAATTACAGGCTAATTTCCTTTGCTACGGTATGGTTTCCGTCGTGCGTCGTGATTCGGGGAATTCGATTTGAATGCTTGACATTGAGGCAACCACGGTAAAATGTGGAACACTGCAGATTCTTATAGGCACCAGCAGACCAGGGCGAGGGCGTCCTGACCGAGTGGATTTTGGAGGAGCTCAATAAAATTAATTTACGGAAGCCTCACTTTTGGTGTTTTGATAGGATCTGGAGAAATTGAGCTGTGGGATCTGCAACGGTAACTAGTTGATATGACAAAACAGCCCTCATGATACCACTGATCAGGTGTGTGGTATGGATGAGAGATGACCCTCATTCGTCCAACCAACGATGGGTATCGACCGTGACAACACAGAGCGAGTGGTAGTGGGAAAACTTACGACAAACGCCCACAGTTTGCAAAGAGCGAAGATGTTGCGATAGCGAGTAACCGTATCAACCGAGTGAGCTATGAGGCAAGGACGATCGGAACGTCGTCCCACTGGGAATCAATGACATCTGTGATATCAATGAAAACCACTCTTTGTACAAGGTCATCACCCGATCTACCACAATCTCAGATTTTATTGCCAAATTTGATTAAGCGGTGCTTTGAAATTAGAGATGGGGACCTGAGAGATCATCCTGCAGTTTATGGAGACGCCAACCATCTGTAACATGTATATGTAGATCCTTATCGATTTTACGTCGAATGCGGCACCGTTTAGCTTTAAAAGGATCCAGTCGGGAATTTCGAGCGTTGCCAAAATTATGCTTCCTAAAGCCTCTAATAAAATGTCCGCAGATAAAGAACACAAATGTTCGACAAAAATTACAGCCAACGTTGAGCCTGTTCACTGGTGTACAGATATATACTTGTGAATACATCGTCCAGAAGACGAGGAAATACGCTGGACGTGAGTAAGTTTTGGTAAAAAGAGGTTTGCTAGGATGAAAACAAAATCTTCCGAAAGTGACTCAGTATTTATTCGGTAGCATCACGATCAAATGTTGAATGCCAAGCTGTTTACAGTGCTCCTTACAGCTCCCTGATGTCAAGTACTCCAACGACATCTAACTGGTGACGGGAATGTCAATATAAATCAAAATAATGAGTTTACACTTCAGGAGTGTTCATTCTTTACTCAGACAACCCACGAGATTTCGGATGTATTTCTACATACTGTTAGGAATAGCGATTTGTCCATTTATTGGTAAACCTTCATCTCATGAACCTTTCGTCCCCCAGAAAAACTGAGGGACATGCGATTTAACGTCTTTCTGACTACATGGTTCTCCTTGTAAATGATTATAAGTTACGGCTTAATGGCCAGATGCATTTGCTTTGATGCTGTTAGGCGTTTTTGGGCAAATACGGTATTGCACTGAGAATCGACGCTGCACTTTCCTTCACGCTGTTCCTCCCCTGCACATAAACTTCAATCGCTTAGAACGACGCGTTTCACTACTCATTTTGCGACAGTATCAAAGGCCAAATCAAACTACTGGCGCAACAGGTCATCTGTACACCACAATTTAAGGACTACACACGATTTCGAATAAAGGAGGCAGGTGACAATCTGAGCTATCTAAATATTTGATACTCTATTTACGTTACAGTGGTTGCCCCAATAGGGAAAAATCTGAAACCATTCCAACGGCGTGACACCTGGGTATCTCACGCCGCATCCTATATGCAAATTCGTTATTTCTCTAAAAGCGTGGCTCAAAAGTGAAACCTCTATATAGTTTTACCACTGGGTGATAATTATTCGGGCACTTAAGATCTCCTTACGTGGCCGCAGTTTTATTAGGAGTTTTTTTTAAACGAACTAGAGTCCACTGTGAGCACGGAGTTCGTATTTTATTGGCTGCGGGTGGCTTCACGCATTTCTCTACAAAACGATGGGAAAGTTTGCGGAAAGGCTGGTTTCTTAGCAAGTTTTTTACGTATTAGATTTGCAAATAACCTCAAAACGACTTGGACAATAATCAAGGACATTATGTCCGCCCAAACTCATACTGGAGTCAACATTAGCAACCTGGATGAGAAATTCTATGGTTGCAGCAAGCGTCCCGCTGAAGCCAAGGAATTCGTCACAGCTAGTAAGTTTTTTGTTTTGAATGATGGTCAGCATACGTTATATCAGGCATAAGGCAAGGTTTGAGCATCACCGGTGTACCGAGCCACCAATAGTGCCGCACAAACTAAACAGCGGTCTTCTGGGTAACACGCTTGTCTGGTAAATATTAGCGATATAGTGAACTACGACCAAGCCATCAGACTGGGTATGGTAGTCGCGGTACCGTCATCGCGACGCCGTACTTTGGTTCGTGGACAGCTTCGTAAATGAGCATCTTTGATGAGCCATCGTAGTTGGGATATTCTTGGGTCCATTAAGGGTTTATGGTGGTTCACTGCTGCCCTTCAAATGAGGCCGTCAGACAGCTGTGTCTATACTGAGGACTCAAAATAGGAAGATGTGTCAAAATGTCTGCCAAAAAGTATTTTGATGTGAGTTAGAATGCCTCCCGAAATAACAGGCAGTAAAAAGGTACCACCACTTCTAACTACCACAAAGAGACGACACCGCTCGATTTTAAAAACGATAATCGATATATACGTGCCGATGATAGGTCTACGATCGATGCAAACTGGTGAGGACATATGTGAGTATGATGAAAGTGTACTGGCTAGAGTGTACGAAATCAAGATAGCTGTTACAGCCTAAAGAAAACCGTGGAGCTTTGCAAAAACAGTTGCCTTTGAGGTGTCATATCACGTGTATATTGGAGCCTCGTAGCATCGTTCCTCTTCTATCCTCTATCCATAGAGAGATTGCTCGGGATATATGTCACAACTATGGCAAGCTCAGACTGGAAACAGCCGTTCGACAAAAGTCTCTTCTATTTTAGTTTTCCTTTCCTTTATTGCAGAAAGCGTGTTATGAGGTTCATCATGCGGGAAGAGTACATTTTGGGGAGGGAAGAGAGAGTAAGAGGTGTCAACCGTGCAGTCTTTTGCATCGTTGTGGACAGGAGGTGTGGAGTGGGCGGACGTGTTATGGGGATATACGGAGAGACCTAAATGCTTCCTTACACAAAGAGGTGTCCGTCGAGAGCGTCCTCTCTCCAGCCCTACTTAATTTCGTGATAGGCGAGATAATAAGACGAAAGCTAAATTGCCTTCTGGACCCGGTTTTCAAATATCCGGCACAATATCTGGCACAATCTAGACAGACATCGTTTTCATCCTCGAAGAGGACGAAAAGGCGCAGGTGTTTTTGGATGAACTGATCGAAGTCATTCTGTCTGCTGGTGTGCAATTTGTATCCACAAAGTGTCACTTTATCATAATTATGTTTGTTCCAAACAGATGGGTGGCGTACCGTCAGGCCCGATCATAAGGGCAGGTGTTTTGAACTGATCGAAGTCATTCTGTCTGCTGGTGTGCAATTTGTATCCACAAAGTGTCACTTTATCATAATTATGTTTGTTCCAAACAGATGGGTGGCGTACCGTCAGGCCCGATCATAAGGCTATTCAGAATAAAGCCTAAGTTTGTCCGTAGTTTCAGGTAATGTAACAGGTAGGCGATAAGGTGCAGTCGAGAGGATGAAGGGCATAGTTACGGACGCGCTATCAAACTGGGTATAACAGTACCATTCTATCATCACACTTAATTAATTCTTTTTCTGGACAGCCCCATAATGTACGTCATTTTTGGTATGGTTTTGCTGATATATGCAAATCTGTGAGGAGGGGGATGTTTTTGGTTGGCCCAAGAAGTCCTCAGAAGTAGATCAGAGCTTATATAGGATCTCAGGTATTTTTCTGACTCGGTTAGAGAGGGAGTGTGGTGGAGCGTTTTATATACACTTGAAGTTTTATTAGTTTTGATTACAGTGTGACAGATGAGGTCAGTGTACAAACCTGCAATGCTCGGGTCGCGCTTGCTAATTCAAAACATCTACGGCGTCAAGGCGGTATATCCGTGAATATCGGGGAAGATACGTATAAGTCGCTATTGATTATACATTTTCTCAGGAACTCTGTCAAGTAGAAAACTGAGAAGTGGACTGATCACACATTATGTTTGTACCGATGCAACAAAAAGTGGAAACGTGATTTGATAAAGGTGGTTGTGTTGTTCAGGCATGGGATGTTGGCAGTCGAACGACGTATGGATACAAAGGACCGCCATAGGTCGTTGGATTAGGCTAATATGTATGGTTAGGATATCACAGTCACCTACGAGCATTGCATGGGCCCGGTAGTTACTATAATGAGCCTCGGCTGGTGATATCATGTATAATTATGAGTATGACGGGCCATTTTTTGCCATTAGACTTGGCTACTTGGCATAGTTGAAGAACC